AAAAAAAGTCTAGGCATTTGTAGACTAACAATTACTGTTTTTTCAGATTGTTTTTCAAGTTAATTTTGTTTTAAATTTTGGAAGCCAGTTCTGCACTTTGGTTGCTTTTATTGTTTTATTTTACAGTAGGTTATATATTTTATAATTTTGCTATAATATTGCCCCCAATCCTGGTAAACCTTTTGTGGGTTTTCATTTAGCTTCTTTAAAAAGTTTAGTGTTTAAATGAGTTCTAAATGCTGGCATGATTAATATTTTTAATCTTTATTTTTGCATGTCACCTGCAGAGTTCTATTTTACTAGAATGTTAGTTTAAATTAGTTGAGAATATAGACTTTTCAGTTTGTCTGGAACAGGAGTAGGCAACCTTAGCTCTTTTACGACTCGTAGACTTCAACTCCCAGAATTCCTGAGCATTCTGGGAGTTGAAGTCCACAAGTCATAAAAAAGCCAAGGTTGCCTACCCCTGGTCTGGAATGTAGATTATCAAAGGATAATTGAAAAAATGTTTTTCCTTACTTTAAGTAGAATAATTTCCGGCAAATACATACTTCAAGGAGAGTTTGTGGCGATTAGGACTGTATAGAGATGATGGACTATAATCTCAGAAGAGTGGTGTAATGTGCTCATCATAAATTGATGAATAACAACTCTGTCCACCCCATTCAGTGTGATCAGTAGAGACAAATACTGATCATTTTGGAAAGCTGAATATATTATGCACGTGCGTATGTAAAGTGCGAATTGCAGATCAGAAGCATCCTTAGAACATGCTGGTTAATACCTGATGCATTTACCTAAGAGATCTTCTGTCTCCCATTCTATATAATCAGGTCCTGTCACTTAAGCAATATTTCTAGGGGGAACCTAGGAAAAGGATTTTTTTCTATTGCAGCACCTGCTTTCTTGAACAGCATTCTCCTGGGATATCTTCTGCCTTCCCTTTTGCCACCTTCAGATGAGCTTTAAACATTCTTCTCTTGCCTTTGGTGTCCTCAGCCTTTGGTGTCTAGCTGACTTGGTTGAGGGTAATGGGAGAAATTTTTTTAAATTGTTTCACTCAAGGTGCTTGTACATTTTTATGCTGTGGTTTTGTTTTGTTTTTGGTGAAACTACCCAGAGTCATTTTTGGAGTAAGGCAGCTTTTTTTTTAAAGAAAGTTTTACTAAGGTTTATTATAGCATAAAATGCAATGAAAATAAAAAAATCAGAGGGAAGTGCAGGATTAGAAAAAGAGGAGAGGAAAAAAAGATGTTGACTTCTGATCCTTTCCAACATAATGAAATACTAATACTTCAACGACCTCAACTTTTTACATTACCTATAATTATTACAAGCCAGTTCTATAACTGCACAATTATTAAATCTTCAAACTAAATTCCAAATTTCATTTTTTTCTATTTCAGGCATAAAAAACAGAAACAGTATTCCTATAGAAACAAGATCAAATCAAATCTCTGCCTAGAGCAGTTTGCATCACCATCTTAATCAAATCCATTTTTCTCCTGTTGTGGGAAATGATATATATTTCTATTTACACTCATTAATCTTTCTAAACATCATCATTGATATTAACAAAAATCTCCATACTCTTTCAAATTCTTTGACCTTAAAGGGAAAACTTTTATATTTATTTTAAGACTCTAAACATTTCTTAAGAAATTTCATCTTTTTAAGTTAAAATCAATTCTAATGAATCTTGCTTTACACATTGTACATTTCTGCATATAGTTAGGCTGCAATAAAATAGGGACTTTATTTTATAATCATATAGACACTTTAGGAGCATAATATTTTCAGTTTTTTAAATTGTTATATGCTCTGTTGGAAAATGGGAAGTTAATTATTCCAAAAAAAATTTCTGCAAGCTGAATAATATAATACTGAAAATCATTTCAGAAGTGTCTAAATTACTATATAGTATTTGAAATAATTTTGTTGGGGAGAGGACATTATGGAGGAAGTAAACGTATTTTATTCCATTTTGTTAGCCCTTTAGCACTGGAGTAAAAAACAGAAACATAGTTACAGTCTTTTTGTCAGCTTTCCCACTGTATAATTGTAAGGACTGGGTCAATGTTCCATTTTCTCTGAGAAAATGCATTTCAGGAAGCACTTCCTGAGCTTCATTTTCTCTCAGCCAGAATCAATCATCTAATGCGTACAGTGTTTCTGAAGCTTGACAACTTGATGATATGTGGATTTCAACTTCCAGAATTCCCTAGCCAGTTCTAGTCCTGCCTTAGGTATGAAAGCCAGCTGGGTGACTGAGCCAGTCACTTTCCCTCAGCCTAACCCACCTCACAGGGTTGTTATTGTGGGATTAATAGAGGGGGAGTATTATGTTTATTGGTCACTTTGAGTTACTTGTAAAGTAGTAACGGTGGGATAAAAATTTAATAAATAAAATTTCATAGGTTTAAGTAGCAAGTGCTGAAAACTTTTCAAAAACAATACTAATGAGTAAAATGTGTTTCCTAAATAATTGAAAATGCTTCGTTTGTCAAAAAGTTCTCAATCAGAAACAACCCATGGGCAATTAGAGGATAAAAAAGGCAGATGATCACTGAGTTTTGTTTACAGCTTGATGCTATATGATAGCACTTCCTGAATTCTAGCACTGGTAGGATGCTAGTCCTCAGTTTGAAATTAACTACATTATAATAAGTGTAATATAGTACAAAATAATACATTACAATAAATAATGGCTAAATCTTAGGTATTTACTGGGTGTTAAGAAAAAATGATGAGAAAAATGATTACTTGTGAATTAATATATACAAATACAAACATTTCTCCTTTATGCATTATGTTGAAATTTTTGGACTTCGGCAAAATAGACATCATATTCTGTCAAGTTGGAAGAAAAACTTTTGAAATTTTCTTATTGCAGCTTCCATGCATGATCTGTTGCTCACATCTTCTTGTTCCTAGACTCCACTAATTAAAGTGAGGCGATTATTATGTTTATTATTATTTGTTACAGTACTGTTTTGCAGGCTCATTTAAGTTTAGAAAATGGTTATTGATATGCAAATTGGAACATACATTTCTTAAGCTCATTTGATTCCTCTACTATCGATATTATTATCTTTAGAGGAAGGAATAGCAAAAAATTATTTCTCGCTAAAATAAACTTAATTAAATGGTTTAAGTCCTTCTGCTCATCCTCTTTACCTCTACTGTTGAATTTATAAAAAACATTTCATTACAAATATAAATTCATGGATTGCACCTTCCAGTTTTTACTTTACTGCATTTTATGACATTTAACTTCATGATTGTTTTTTTGTTTAAAAAAATCCCTTACTTCCTCTTTCTCCCCCCCCCTTTTTTTTTTAGGAGAGAGGATAATTTTCAATTATCTTACATTTGCATGATGCTATGAATGGAATTTTATCCTGGGTCCAATCCATATTACAGATTTGAAGTTGTTTCATTCTTATAAAAGAGGATAAGGTGTGAAATATTTTAAATGAAGTTCAACTTCATACTGTAGTTATGAAAGGATGCAGTTAAGAAAGGATGCAGTGTTTAAATATTTGCTGGGAATAATTTTGTATTTATTATTATTATATATATTATAATTCTATGTACATATACAGGAATTTGACAAGAGGAGTTGGTAGATTTAGAGAGATTCTAAGAGCTGTTGAAACAAGAACTACACAGAATCTACGCATGGTAAGTTTTATAGCTGTGGTAAATTAGTGCCTGAATACAGTAAAATTCAATTAAGAATAAGAATGCATAGATTTATGTGTAACCGTTCATTTTAATGCAGTGATTATTGATATAATTGGAGTATTAAAATATTTTAGCATAATTATTGTATTAATTACAATAAGTAGTAATATAAAGTTATGCAATAAAATAAAATAAACATATTTGGTAAAGTTGGATCAGTATCTGTTGGACCCCTAAATTTTTATAAGCATATAAAGTGGTTCTGGTTCTAGCTTTAGAGCCAGTGGAAAATAGTTCCTGATCGGCTTCCCTTTGTTATCATTTATGTACTCATACTTTGAAAACTAATTCTAATTCATTAAACAAGCCAAGTATATGAAGTTATATTTTTTAGAAGACAAACCAATCCCTTCTCCTATGTAGTAAACATGGTATGGCCTGATATAAAAAAGGTGTTCGAATTTTGATGAAGATTAGAACCATTGTAATATAAAATACTTGATTTCAAATTACTTCTCTTTCTCCCCAGTTTTTTTTTTTTAAATTCAGATCTCTTTTTGGTCCCCTTCACTAACTTGGCTAACTTCTTTAAAAAAAATTCTGCAAACTTAATAGTTTTCCGCAAGCTTATTGATATTCTCTAATATATAGATGGTAATTTTTTGGCTGCATAAAAATAAGAAATTGAAGAATGAGTTACTTGTGCATACGATATAATTAATTGCTCTTTGAAACTTTTAACGGTTGCATTGGTGAGTTTGTTCTTTAGGCTGTATTTTATTCTGGACATTATATTCTATATTCACCCTATTTGTATACTATTGCTTATTGAATAAAATTATATCCAATAGGCAGTAAGTTGTTTCCTGTTATACACAAGTTCTGCATCCTACTTTTGTTCATTCTAAACACTGGTGATGGGCATTTCTTTTTACTTCCTAACAGACAATAGCAAGGCAGTTAGCTGAAATTTTGCTACGAGGCATGTGTGAACAGAGTTATTGGCACCCTCTGGATGACCCTCCTCAACAGTCCCCTTTAAATGATCCACTCTGGAAAGCTACAAACACTAAAAGTTATGCTCTTAGCAGAAGACCACGAGTGTATTCAGGAGAAAAGTATGTTTTTAAAAGGAATATAATAAGTTGATACGATTTGTGCTATTTAAATAAGATTAATACAATATATGGGCACAGTCCCTTAACCGTATTACTGCGTGTGCACTTTTTCACTTCCACGGCGGGCACAGGATAAGTTACTGTGGAGAAAAGTAGAAATGGAAAACAGAATTAAAATCTTTTTAGGTAAAAAAATGAAATGTGAATGGACAAGAACAGATGCATCTATTCTTAAAGTATGCTTCCTATGGTGGAAATTAACATTAAAACTCATTTGGCTACTTAACAAAGCATATTTATTAGTGATAATTTTCAATTGCCATTCTGTTTGGGTCAGCAGTGCAGTTTTTAAAGCCTTTCACTATTATTATTATTATTATTATTATTATTATTATTATTATTATTATTATTATTATTATTATTATTATTATTATAATTTAAATTTATATACCGCCCTATCTCCCTTACGGGACTCAGGGCGGTGAACAGGCAATAATAAATAATAATATAATAACTATAATATAATATAATAACTATAATGGTCTTTTCCTTTTTTTCTGGAAGATTAAAACATATTGATGATATGTGAAGTTGCTGAGGGTTGCCTTTATCCTAGCCACGGTGAATATTAAAGAATTTTAACAGAGCTATTGCAGGAACTGTGTATGGCTGGATGTCTGAATACAGGTAGCCCTTGAGTTACGACTGTAGTGGAGCCTGGCCATTTCACTCGTAACTTGAAAACTCACAGCGTGAATGTCGTACCTCAAACAAGATGACTCCCTTGCTCGTTAAGACGCACGCGGCTCGTTAAGTGAACATGAGGTATCTCAGGGTAGAGAAGGCCATGGAGGCCCTAGTGATGGAACAGGCCCCCAAGGCCTCCCCGACCCACTAAGATACCTCATGCTTCCCCTGCCCTTCCTGCCGCTCTGTACTCAACTTGAAAAGAACCGTCTCCTCTCTGCCGTGATTCCTGCTGCCGTCTGGATCTGAGGCCGGGGAATGCTTCCACGGCCCCCCACGGCCTGATCTTGGCTCTGGAGGCCTTTTTTAGGTCACTGCCGCCTGAACCTGAGGCTGGGGGATGCTTCTGCAGCCCACTGGATGCCTAATCTGGACATCAGAGGCCTTTTCCAGGCCACTGCCACCCGGATCTGAGGCCGGGGGACGCTGCAGCTCTCCCGCAGCCTGATCCGGGCACCGGAAGCCTTTTCCAAGCCGCTGCTGCCTGGAAATGGGCCACCGGAGGGCTATGTAAGCATCCCCCAGCTTCAGATCTGGGTAGCAGCGGCCTGGAAAAGGCCTCCTTAGCCCAGATTGGGCCGCATGGGGGCATGGAAGTGTCCCCTAGCCTCAGATCTGGGCGGCGGCAGCCTGGAAAAGGCCTCCAATGCTTGGATCAGGCATCTGGTGGGCCGCGGAAGTGTCCCCCGGCCTTAGATCGGGTGGCAGCAGCCTGGAAAAGGCCTCCAGAGCCCAGATCCAGCCTCCGGAGGCACGTGGAAGCATCCCCCAGCTTCAGTTCTGTTCTCTGTTGCAGAGAAAAGAGGCCTAAAGTACCATGAGATCACACGAAATCAGTAGTGTGAGATCTCACCGCACTGATCTTGTGTGATCTTGCGTTACTTTAGGCTTCTGTTCTCTGCTAACACAATGAAGGCCTGGAGCAACCAAGAAAGTGAAGCATCTCGATCTTTGCAGGGTGAGTATTGAACGCCTAGTGCCTAAAGAGACCCAGGCGGGGGTGGGGAGGGAGGGAATAACCAGAGTGAATGTTGCAGTGCCACTGCAGTCACTCATAAGGGTGAATGACTATCGTGGTGCGGCAACATTAGTAATTTCGGGATTTGCTCATAAGCACTAGGGGGTGTTCATCATGTAACTTTGAACGAGCGTTAAGTGAACACTCGTAACTCGGAGATTACCTGTATTTATTTGTAAGTTATACGAAGCAGCAAATACAACCAGCTTACAAGTTCAAAACTGTTTATTGTGAACTTAAAACAATGGTTTTGAATTTTAAATAGAATTAGAATTCAAAGCTTAAATATTTTGTTCATCTCTTAAGTATAAAGCAAATCAGGTTGAATGCAGGATTTAAAATGCAAATGTTTATTAGGAAAAATTCTAAGCTTTTGCTACAGATTATCAGATTTTATTTCAGTATGCTTGTTACTCACTTCCTTATGTTTTCATGAGGTAAATAAACTCTTTTCTCAAATGTCTTAATATTCTGAATTATGCATTCTCTAAAATATTCATGTGGAAAGTGTTGCCAGTATGGAGAACTGATTAAGGTACCATAGCCAGTGGTTAAAATGTTCAGCTAGGACTGGAGATATCTAGGTTCAAATTTAACAGCAGTCAAAGGCCAGTCATTTTCCCTCAGCCCTCAATTTCAGTAGTCTTACGAAGTCTTTTTCCTAACCTGGTCTGTCCTGCAGAGCTGATAGATTGCTATTAAGGAGCTGAGATTTTGTCAGGTTTTCTCTGATCACTTAATACGATGGACACTATATAATCAGTTCAGAGCTCCTTGATTTCTTTATAGATATTTCTTGAAAATATATCCATTGTCAGAGGACATCATGGACTGATGCCTGCCTCCCACATTCTATATTGAATAGTCTTGAGTTTCATATTGAATGAAAGGTCCATATTGAATGGTCTTGAGTTTCAAATATTATAAATAATGTTAAAAATGTAGAGTGGTTAATTATAATTTGGTCAGGTTTAATGTTGTTTAAGAAGGTTAAAAACAAAAAAAATTAAAGATGTTCTGATTAAAATAAAGAAATTTATTTAAAAAATACTCTTCAGTCCACTGAGTAGCTCTATTTATGAATATTTAAATATTATGAAAATATGAAGGCAGTGACATTAGCATTTTAAATAGGAGTAGTTATAGTTTTAGTTGCCAAAATAGCATATTTGTTTGAGCTGTTTGAAATTGTTACACTTTGAAACACCTGTTTCAAAAATAGCTTCATTTCCATAATTTGAGTTGCTTTTACAAAAAACAAAATATCAAGTTGGATCATCATGAATATGCAGATGTGACTCAACTGTTAACTATTACATGTAAATGAATTTTGGTTGACTGTAATACAATGAATGCTCAATTTTTAACAGCATTTTTTGTCCTCAAGAGAACACGGAAGAAGCTTTGTTGCTGCTATTAATCAGTGAATCCATGGTGAGTCATATTTCTTTATAAATGAGCACCGTTTATATTATTTCTTTTGCATTTTACTGTTTGATAGTTCACAAACTATAACTTGCTGTAACAAGAGCAAAAGTTATGTGTGTTGTCTGCATAGGTAGGCTGTCATGTGTGCAGTATTTGGATTCGAAGCAAGAAAACAACTTACAATCCCTTCTGGGTTCACTTATTCCATGTGCTGTCTCTGCATTTCTTTTAGTATTTATGCATGTGTGGATATATATGTGTGTATAAATGTACTTGTAGGCATACGTGTGATCTTAACCAATTATCTGTACCACTTGCACCTTCCATACCTATACATATAATCCTCAATTTATGACTTTAATGGAGCCTGTCTATCATGGTCATAAGTTGTGACAGTCATAAAAAAGAGTCAACCATGTGATTGACCCAATTTTATGACCTTTATTGTGATGGTTGTTAAGCAAACGCTGCAGTCATTAAGCAAACCAATGATCAACTATGGATTGGTTTTGCTGAAAACCAAAAATAGATTCCAGTTTTTGGCAAAAACATTTTAAAACACAGTCACATGAGCAGTTGCTCAGCACCCAAAATGTAGTCATGTCACCACAAGGAAGAGACCTGGCCATCCAGACTTCAAACCAGTGTCGCAGGTAAACCCAGGGAGGTCCATCCTAACTTCAGATGTTTGCTAAGTGACCAGTTGTAAGTTGTGGACTATCTGTAACAACTCGACTAGCTTTGGCTTATAGAATAAATGCTATAACCTACAAAGAACTAGGTAAATGTAACTTCTTTTTTCAAGACTTAAACTATTATTCTTGTCAGAATATTCTCCATGGATTATTCTAAGGTTTTACCTTTTTTTTGCAGCAGGTTTTTGCAAAAATATTTCCCGAATCTTTTCCCTTCTCTCTCATATGATAGGTATACTGATTTTTTTTATCTCTGCCTATATTCGGGTCTTTGGTCTCAGTGGCAAATCATTCCTGGCATGTTAAATTATCAGAAGTAGTTTGGTTGTCAAACCTGGTAATCTTATCTGCTCCAAAATGGAATTGGACTAGGAGAAAAGCCAGTGATGTAGGAATCTTTTTTTTTTTATCTCTCTGTGGTCTTGTTATAAGGAGACAGTAGGGTTGGGTAAGAAAAAGACCAGCCTTTTGGTGCTAACTCAAGAAAGTCAGAATTGAATACAAAGCAAACGTAGACCAGAGCATAAGTGGAATCAGAAAATTGATCTGTTTTGTCAAGGAAGATTTGAAAATGACATTGCTTCCTCCACTTTCAGACATTTCCTACAGTGGCATAGCAACTGCTAAGACAGATTGATTGTAATTATGAATTATGAGTACCAGGCTTAAATATAGGTAATTGTTGACATTCAACAGCAATTGGAACTGAAATTTGCGTTCCAGTGTCCTGTTCCACAGTCGTCGTCACCCATGTTTTTGATATTAAAACTGAGCTGTTTGATCCTTTAGCAATAATATAGTCAGTTTGATTTCTAGGTACTTCATTTGGGAATGTCCATTTATAGAGTTGTCATTTTTGTTGTTTGAAGGTAGTGTTAAAGATAGTGTTGAAGAAATCGTTGGAATGCCAGACATTGATAAATCAGTTGACATCTTCACTGTACAAGATTCAGTATATTCCTTCCTTCTTTGTTTAATTTTCCTTGATCTTCTTACTATTTGACCATTGGTGATTTTTAGCATAGCAGTTTGATGTTGGAATTGCCTGCTGAGTTTAGAGATCTTTTGGAAGATTTTCCTTGTTTTTCTATGTTTCTTTCCATCTTCAATGCCTTTACTGATACCATAATTCTGCATCTTCTTTCTTTTAATAATTCTCAGAAATTCTTTGTTAAGTTCCTTCCCAAGAACTTTGTCTTTCTTGTCTTTGGTTGTCTTCTTGGCAATTTCCACTGTTTGTTCTGATGTCCAGTTTGCTTTCTTCCATTTCTTAGTCTTTGGCAATCTATTTCCACATTAATCCTTAACATCTTTGATTTGTTGGCTTCTTGATTTGGAATTTGCACATGATAACTTTATCTTTACTGTCATAAGTGAGCTTGTTCACTTTCTTGTACCAATAATATAGTCGATTTGATTTCTGTGGGGCTCCATTTAGTGATGCCCATTTATATAAAGGTCAATTTATTTCTTCAGAGAGAATGTAAATTATGAAGATAGACAGAAATTGATAAGTTGTTCTTCTGTTTCTTAGGTTATAAAGACCAACCACATTTTCCTCCATAGTATTTCTAAAGTTGGCATTCCAGTCTGCAACAACAAGCAGCACATCTTAATTGCATGTTGTGTTGACTTAAGTTCGAATTTGCCCATTAAACTCCTCAACTTTCTCTTCTCCATCAGTGGTTAGAACATAAACTCATATTAAAAGGCTGTCTGCTTCATTCATTCCTCCCAAGAACACCCCCCTCCCCTGCACTTCAGTGAGGCAGGATATCAAGATTTGAGGCGGTGGAAATTGAACTTTGCCCAAAATATAAAATAAAATTAATGACAGAGGACTGACTAATACACAAAATGGTGACATTGTCATACTAATTGGGCTGGTTTCCCCTAGATTTTAGGGCCCAGTTAAAATTGTTGGTATTGTCCTTGTAGAGGCGTAAGCAGAACTAAGGAAATTTTCTTCTTATTTATACCTCCTTGGAGCATTTGTTTACCTACTGAACCAGTATCCTCCTGATAAATAAATCTGGAAAGAACCTATTTAGCAATAATCTCTTCTTATGGAATACCGTCCTTAAAAATACTTGTCTGCTGATCATATTATCTTCTTCAGTGCTCCCAGAAATATTTTGTACCTTAGTTTAAAGAGTAGTTAAATGCTCGTGGTAGCTTGAGATAACAGCTTCAACTGTACGTATTTTTCCCCATGCAAATTACTGTTTTGCTTCTATTATCTTACATGTTTCTCTTTTGGTATTTATAATTCATTCAGAATCATTGTGCAGAATAAGAATATAATAAAACACATAACTAAAGATTCTTACTGGGAAAATATGCTTTTGAGCATCCTTCCATTTTTTGATAGTTTTCACTTAAATTAATAAGCATGATGCAGCAGTTCTTAAGAAATGTCATTAGTAATGAGTCTCCATTTCTGCATAAGCTACCCAATTTCTGACAGTACTAAGAAGATAATGGTTCTTTTTCCTTTATAGTCTTTAGTGGGGTATTGCAGGTTGTTACCTCATTTAACAACACTAATTGGCAATTATGTTGTGAAGCAATGCAATCACAGGTTGAAAAACCACATGACTGTGCCACTTACCAATAACAGTTCCAGTTGCTGTAGTTAAGCACGGACCACATAGGTCATTAAGCAAGATCCTCGTGTGGTTGGGATATCTGACTTCCTGTCAGCTTCCCTTTTGACTTCGCTTGTGGGAAGCTGGCAGAGAAGGTTGCAAATCACAGTCATGTGACTGTGGGATATTACAGTGTTATAAACATGATGTTCAGTTGTAATTACCATTCTATCAGCACCATAGTAAGTTTGAACAGCTGCTGATTGAGTGGTTATTAAACAAGGACCACCTATATACTGATCATATCTTTTCTTATATTTGACATGGTTTTTCAGGCTAACCGTGATGCTGTATTGAGCAGAATACCAGAACACAAAAACGATCGTATCATCAGTTTGCAAAGTGCATCTGTAGTGTACGATTTGCTTACTATTGCCTTGGGAAGACGAGGTCAATATGAAATGCTCTCGGAGGTAAGTTATAAAATAAGGCCTGGAGCTTGATGCATGCTGCATGGCTTGTATACACATATAACTGGAAGCTCTTCCTTCATGTCTGTCAGGTACCTTACCTTCTGTTTTTATTTTATTCTTTTGAAATATTTTTTTAAAAAATTCAAAGCATGTATAGGAACCAATCAATCAGAACAGAGTTGGAAGGGACCTTGAAGGTCCTCTAGTCCAACCCCCTGCTCAAGCAGGAGACCCTATACCATTTTCAGAGAAGTGACTGTCCAGTCACGTATCTCTAGCATAAGCTATAGTAGTGGCTGTGGTCTTCTCACAGGCTGAAAAAAATAATATGGTGGACAGATGCCAACCAGGGCTTTGTGTTGATGTGTATCTCCCTATCTAGAAAAACCCAAAAGTAAATTGAGCTGGTGGAGAACATTTTGGAAAGCCAAAATGGCTGATGGAGAACAACCGTTTTACTTTGTCTACTAATAAATGGGTATTTCACTTGGTCAGACTCAGGCCCACCATGGAAGCCATGGTAGTGGGCATGATGAGAATTGTGTATCCAACCTTATCCTACTTAATCTCTTGGCAGCTTTAAAGACCATCAGTAATGGTATTCTTTTGGATTGACTCATGGGATTGAGGATGTTCACCTCTTTTCTCCAGTGTTGATTCCAGTTGGTGGTGATTGGGGAAGAGAGGTTGGCCCCTACTATGTGGGATGCTGCAGGATTCAGTGCTCTCTCTTTTCCTATTTAACAGCTGGATGAGCTCATCCTTTGCTAAATGGATATATCTCTGACCCTGGTGAATTAAGTGATGTGACGAATATCTTATCCTGGTATCTGTGAGGGTCTGGATGAGGAACAACAGGCTTCAGCATAACCTTGGCAAGACTGAGTGACTTTGACTGTTGGGAATTACTGGTTCTAGGACCATGCCATCTTTGGTGCTGGACAGGATTGCTCTACCCCAGACAGACTTAGTGCATAATCTGGGGGTCCTCCTAGACTTTCAGATCCTGCTTGAAAAAAAGGTAGTAGTTACGGCTAGAAGGACCTTTGCACAGCTCTGTGTTGTACTCTGCCTACCCATTTCTAGGTCTGGAGCCTTTGCTCATAGTCACTCATGACATAGTCACCCCTAGATTGGACTACTGTAATGCGCTCTACATAGGACTGCCCTTGAAAGTATCCAGAAACTTCAACTAATGCAGAATGCAGCAGTGTGGGCAATTAGGTGTACCCCCAAAACAGTATGTGTCACATCTCTGTTCTATCAGCTGGCTGCCAATTTGATTCTGGGTCCAATTCAAAGTGCTGGTTTTAACTTTTAAAGCCCTTTATGGCATAGAGCCAGGTTATCTAAGGGACCACTTCTCTCTGATTATATCATCCTGGCAGAGAAGACATGTTGTGGGTACCATCTGCTGGGGACCTACATTTGGTGGCTCCCAGGAGGTAGGCCTTCTCTGTCATGGCACCCACCTTATGAAATATTTTCCTACCCAACGTCAGGTAAGCTCCATTTTAGTTAATGTTCCGGAAATCCCTGAAAACCTGGTTATGTCATCAGGTTTTGTATCCCTGGAAACTGGTTATCATTCTAAGATGGTTCCATTATCGTGGCTGACACAGTTACTCTTTCTGCACCATGTAGTTTGTAGATATTTTAATTTTCAATAGTATTTTAACTTTTATTATGATTTTTTATATTTTTATTTTATTTGATTGCTGTATGATGCCCAGAGTTGCTTCTTATAAGCTGGGCAACCATAGAAATTTGATAAATAGATTTTTGTGTGGTGCTGATATCATAGTTTCAAAATTTTTAAATGTGCCCATTCTGGACTTAAGCAATATTTCTGTTGAATAATAAATAAAAAAAGAAATCATCCATTCAGTATACCATTTAACAGGTTATCTGTTGTTCAGCTGAATGTTCACTGATATTGATGGATATAAGAGAAACATAATCTGATAGAACTTAGTATGATATGAATGCAAAGGATTGAATGTAATTTATATAATAGCTAAAGGGTTGTTACTGGAAAAGTAGTATTTTATTTATTTTATTTTATTTTAAAGACTTTTTACAATTACACTGGGAATCTCACAAGGACAACAGTAAAACATAAAAATCATAAAACCATGCTTTTATTAACATGCTTGAATGATTGAATACAATAAAATCTCTTCTCAAAAGACATGAAAGAGTTAAAGGAAAACATAAATCTGATTTGCAAGTCTAAACTGTTTGGAATAGATTCTCTCATTTTCTGTGTGTGTTTGTGTGTGTGTGTGTTTGTGTGTGTGTGAGTGTATTGCTAGATGAGATATAGCTCTTTAGATAAATGTTGTCTCATTTTCCCCACATTTCTCCCTTTTTCCCTTTCAGCTTTGAATTGTCATCTAATTTCTTAATGTTGATGTACATAATAAAGATTTGCTTTCTTACTGAATCATCACTCTCATTCTCAAAGGATGTTAAATTTAGCACAGGTATGACTTATGGGCTTCATTTAAAGAAAGGAAGAAAAGTGGGATAGAATTTTGCCACTATACTTACTCCCAAATCAGAATATCTGAAATAGGATGTGGGCACATACCCTTAAATACTTCTTCATTTTGGGGGGGGGGGGGAATTATCTGGGGAAGAGTGGTTGATGCAGCATCAAATAGGCTTTCACCCAGAATGTGGGGTGGTAAAGTAGGAATTGTGAGGAGTTTATGGATCTCTACTCAAAGGATCCCAGAGGGCCAACCCACCATTTCCAAAGCATACTAGTATTCCCTGTTATATCTGTACATGTAGTCCTCAACTTACAACCATTCGTTTAGTGAAAAAAGTGACATGATCACTTTTCACACTTACGACTGTTGCAGCATCCCCATGGTCTTGTGATCAAAATTCAGATGCTTAGCAACTGGCATGTATTTATGAAGGTTGCAGTGTTCCAGTATCATGTGATCACCTTTTGCAACCTTCTGACAAAGTCAGTAGGGAAGCCAGATTCACTTAACAACCACATTACTAACTTAACAACTGTTGTGATTCACTTAACTGTGCAGGAAAGGTAAAATGGAACAAAATTCATTTAGCAAGAAATTTTGGGCTCAATTGTATTCATAAATCGAGGACTACATGTACTGAAGTTTCTCTTCACCATCACAAGCTGGAAGATTAGTTCTGCTTATATAGCTATGTACTATTCATACTATATCTTTTTGGTTAAAAGTGGTAAAAAGCTGAAACTGACATGCAATGTGAAAACTAAAAGGTGGATGCAATTGTGAATTTTTTAGACGATATACAGGTAGACTTTGATGTACAACTGTAATTGAGTCTGGCAATTATGGTTGTAAATTGTAACTGTTGTTAATTGGGTCATCATATGACCAGACCCGATTTTATAATCTGTTTTGCAGCAGTCATAAAGCAAACACTGCACTTATTAAGCAAATCCATTATTCACTATAGGGTTTTTCCCCCCCCCTGGGAACCAAAGTCGTAAAAAATTCGTAAATTGTGATCATATGACTGCGGGACACTGCCAAGGGCTGTAAATGAAGGCTGGTTGCCAAGTGCCCAAAATGCAGCCATGTGACCTTGGGGGTGGCTGGACATTGTAACTTTGGATCTAGGTCTTAAATAGCTTTTGAGGAGTCCTCCATCATACCATTGAACAGTTACTAAATAACGGGTCATAAGTTGAGGATTACCTATAACACAATCACAACTTTTTGATTAGCAACCTGACCAGTATGAAAATGTCTCTTCCTATAAATTGACTGAGCTGTATTCCTTCTGTTCCTAACTAGAGTAAGCAAAAAGTAGAATTCAACGATAAAAAAAATGTCAAGCATAATAGTAAAGTACTAGCTAAAATGGATTCTTTAATCTGGGTTTGTTGGGTAAACTATGATTCACAGCCACGGTATCCACAAACTAATATTTATGCTGTGTCCTTGTTTTTGTACCTTTGATTCAAAGCAATCTTGGAGCCAGTTCTTTAGGGGGAAGGGTTTTTTTCTTGTTTTTCTTACGATAAAAGCAGAACTTGGTGCTGTTTGCCTAATAAAAAACTCTTATCTTTTAAAAAAATATTGCTGTGAGAGCAGTTTTATAAAAGCTGGAAATCCTGAATGTAATGGGGTTTATTTCAGAGTTAGTAACTGCACAATTGTATTAAGAAATGTAGAAATAATTTTAAAAGTAAAATTTTAAATTTTATAAAATAGTAATACTGTACACAATATGCATACTGTGGACACTGAAATTCTGTGTGCTGGTCACAGAATATTCCAGTATTCCCAGCATTTTTCTTCTGAAATACACCAATCCAACCATTCTAGATGGGGCTCTTATTTTACATGAGTTCATAATATTTTAAATGTGGACTGTGAGAAATATGCTCTCAGTCAGAAGTCTTTAGAAAGGGTAATGGGGCCTCTGTGTGGTAAATATATTTCTCTTTAAGAACTATCAATTCTTTGTTGCTTTTACTGCTACCAACTGGAAACTAAATTCTGTGCCTACTCTGGAAGTAAGCATTATGGATATTCCTCAGAATTAGTTTTGAAAAGGAAATGAAAAATATAACTGTAGTAGTCATTTTTGCTTCATAACTTTTTTCCTGGATAGCTGGGCCATGCTTCTCTGCTTCCTATTCTTTCTATTTTTCATGGCTTCTCTTTCTTTGAAAGACCCTCCTTGCTCTTCCAAGTTCTCTTTCCTTCATTTCCTGCATGATGAAATTTAATTTATCTATGAGTTCTAAAAATAATCCATTGAATTTGTATGGTAAATTACTTTCCTACTGAAAGACAGATAATTGAATACAGAAATAGAATTTAGATGCTTATTTAATTAAATTTAGGCACTGCCTGGCTCCAACTAACTCTGGGTGGCTCACAATATGTTACCATAAAATAGTTGCTGCAAAATGTGGACTAGCACATGCATTTATCAGGAATTTGGGGAAGTCAACTGACATTGAATTTAAAAATGCCATCCAATCAAAATGTTTAAGGTGCTTGTTAGGGAATCATTGTGTTTGTTATCATTCCCTGCTTTGTTTTGTACAAAAAATATCTTTAGAAGATGATCTCATTTCTCACTTTCTCACCTTTGTGACCTGACACTTGTGTTGAAACTCTCTTTTTTATATGTATTTCATGAATATTTCCTTTATGTTAACTGTCTATGGGTTCCATAGAATAGGTTTATATATTGCCTCCCTGTTCGCTGTTGATTCAGAAGTTTAGTTAGTTAGAACATTTAAAGCTGAGCTAAAAGGAATTCAAATTTTAATCTAAAGTTTTTTGAGAATCTTCCTTTCCTGTTGTTAATTTCAGCATGAAATTCCACTATAAAGTAACTTAAATAGTATTCTATGAATTGAGAGAAAGACAGGGACAGAGAAAATGGAGTTTGTCAAAAGGCTGAACAAACTTCCTAAAGACAAAAGATAAGTTTTATAGTATACCCCTGCTCTTCTGTTCTGCTTGCATTACACTCATAATAAAATAATGCAGGCTTTCATTCTTACTTGCATACAACAACAACAAAGTCTTCAGTCATTTGCGTCATGTACCCTGGCACGATATTTATATTCTGTAACAAAAGTACAGTGCCTTGCAAGCATTGTTTTATTTGCCAGTAAGTGAAATTACCAGCTAATATAGTCAGTGTAGAAAGATCAGTAATGTTAGTTTAAATAATGTATACTATTAATCATCTGTATTCTCAATTTTATTGCAGTGTTTGGAACGGGCTATGAAATTTGCCTTTGAAGAATTCCATCTTTGGTATCAATTTGCACTTTCCTTAATGGCAGCTGGAAAAGTAAGTCTCTTTGCAAATTTTGTTTTATTATTGGCTACTAATGGCAACAAAGTAGGCTATAATCCTGCATACACTCTTTGTGTTATATAAGCTTTCATTTTCATAACTGTGTACAGAATGGCAGCTGTAGCTCTGTTTATCCTTTGAGCCAACAAACTGTAAACATCTACTGGTTAGAGTAGAAAAGTGGATATAACACAAATTTCTTTGGGTTTCCTTTTCTCCTTCTTTGAAATAGCAACTTAGACTTATATACCGCTTCACAGTGCTTTACAGCCCTCTCTAAATGGTTTACAGAGTCAGCATATTGCCCCCAACAATCTGGGTCCTCATTTTACCAACCTTGGAGGGATGGAAGGCTGAGTCAACCTTGAGCCGCTCAGAATTGAACTCCTGGCAGTGACCAGTGAGTTAGCCTGCAGTGCTGCATTCTAACCACTGTGCCACTACGGCTTTTATATTGTGTTTCATTGCTTCTACATACAGATAGTCCTCAAATTATGACCAATGGCTCGGAAAGGATACTTTAAATCTTTACATTTAATCTGTGAAGCACTTCTGACCATTGTAAAACATTCTCCATTCATTTCTCCATGTTTAATAAACATTCTATATACCAAGACACCACTCACTGCAATTTTTTGCCACGTATTTATAAATTGCAACCATTCATTCCATTTCTCTTCTCAGAAACAAACTTCTTGATCTGTATATAGTATTTAGATCTATACTCATCATTGCATCATATACTCTTAACATTCACTGCAGATCATTTGGGTTGTCAGCTTAATCCAGCATGAAAAATCAAGAAGGTATCAGACATCATTGTCTTATGCCTTCCTCAATGCTGGGGCATAAGAATTTGTAATATAAATAAAAATATGTACGAAATAACATACTGTATGACAAGAATATTGTAAGTTATCGTTAGAAGTATAAACACATTTTATCACGTATTAAGTTTGAATAACAATAGTATTCGAAAAAAGATTTACTTATATTATAAGGAAAAGTATAAGTATACATAGAGTCCGGATGACTTCTCGTTTCCAGAATCTTCGCCCTGCCTATCCAAAAGCTTCCCTGCACATCAGAAATTTTGTATATTGTTATCTCAAGCCCTTTCATTTAGAATTTTGTCAAACACCGTATGAAATGCATTCTCCTCTATAATTTTGCAACTCTTGATCCCTTTCCTTGGTATAAGGGAACAATTTTTATTTTCAATTATCAGACACAAATTCAGGCCTCATGCTTATGCTCACATTAATCACATCTGTACTTTACTGGTTCTCACGTTACACTAGGGGTGTCAAACTGCCGGCCCGTGGGCCGGACGCATCATCAGGAAACTGTGCCCACCCCATTGCCAGCAATGGAGAGAAAGCGCCAATACGTTGCGTGACGTCACATGACGTCGCGAGTTTGACATGTTTGCATTATACCATCTACAATTGCTTCCTTAAAATGTTTCAGTCTTTTCACATCATTTATAATTTGCTTTTCATCAGCTTTCATTAACACTAACATTTACAGCATTCATTTCATTTCTACTCTTTGACATATCTCTATAAATTTCTAAATTCCTCCTACCAGTATTCCTTCAGTTCTCCAGCATGAGGGATGGATAATCCACTTGATTGGGTTTCCTGAAGTCCCTTGTACCCAATAAGACTAAGTCTGCGATAGCCACGCCTCCTGCCTGGCCGCACATGCCCAGTTCAGACTTAGTCTTACCCAGACAAGGCGTGTTGTTTCTCTGCTCTCCAGACTCAGGTTTTATTTAACTATTCCTCAATTGTTTACTCCTATCCTTTCATTTGCTTTCCCCCCCGTTTGTTTTCCCTCATATAGGGGATTGAAGGGGGGTTTGTTGATTTGTGGGCCCCTGCCTTCCCAGAGCCTGGTAGATCTCATTACGGTGTACGGGAACTGGGGGTTGTGGAGTTCTTTCTCCGCTCGCCCCGGTTGATTGGCAGGGCTCTAAGCAGGCTAAAAGCCTGAAGCATTCAGCCAGACGGAGTTTC